AAAATGCAATGAAGGTTCACCAGACCTGAACGTACGCCGCAAAGGAGTGTTGTCCTGCTCTAGGACGGGTGTTGAGTTTCGACAGTTAAAAAACGTTGCCAAATAGTTGCAGAAGGAAGAGACATCGACGAAACGTAACAGACGGGGTAACAATGACACACGTCGGTATAGGACGCTTTTACCAGACCAGGCTGACGTGGCTGGAAACGCTGGAGTCCCCGGCACGTCTCCCAGCAGGGGGTGGGGAGGGGCGGGGGAGGGGAGAAGGACGAGGCTGCGGGGTTTGAAGGGCTTGCCACCACGCAGGGAGCCTCGGACCCGCCCTGAGCTCCACGGAGACAGGAGGGGCCTGCTCAGCTCTGCTCTCGCTGGTCACAATGCCGACAGTGGCCCGGGCCCCAGGCCGTAGCTGAGCAAGGCATGGACCATGGCCGTGACTCCAGACCTGAGCAAGCGCTGGGCCCCAAGGCAGCCCGCCTGCCAACCAAGCTGTGGCTCTGCTCACCCCCAGGGTCCAGGGCTCTGGCTTTGTCCCCCTGCACAGCCCAGACGAAACAGGAGAACCAGCTCCCAGAGGGACCCGAGGGTCCTCGCTGCTGTCTCCCTAGAGACTGAAGGTGAGACGCAGTCACAGCGGAAAGTTAGACTCCAGGCTGTGTTTTCCTTACGCTGGTGGGGTGCAGTCGGTCAGCCTCTGGAGCACTCTCTCACGAAGTCCCCCAAGGTGACGCGCCAGACCTTTCGGTTCCAGGCATGAGAGCCCGTGAAACATGTCTGCATTCTGGCATGCCGGCGGTGTTCGTGTGTGTGTGTGTGTGTGTGCATTCTTGTGCACACTTAATACCAGCACGTGACGTCTCCCGTAAACTTGCTCGGCGGGGAGCAAACAAGCCGTCAGGGAGGCTGCACAAATGCCCTGCTCGCTGGCCGGCCGCTCGGTAAACAATGACGTCAAAGGAAACCGGAGGAGCCACAGATGGCCGGCAGAAGGGAGGCTGCTTCCCCATCTTCGCTGGGGTGTGCGTTACACACCAAAGAATTCACTCGTCGCAAGTGCACACAGTTCAGGGGTTTAAATAGAGTCTCAGGGTCAGGCAGCATCACCCCAACCTAGTCTGAGGAGATACTCTTCGCCCCCCAGAAGCCCTGTCCCTCCGCACCCCCACTGCAGCCCCGGGCTGGCACCGAGGGACTCGTGCCGCCCACGGATTCGCTGGTTCCGGGCGTTTCGCACAAGTGGAAGCGTAAGACACGTGGTCGGAGGAAGATCATTCTGCCTTGGGATGTCAATAGCTATGTGCCCACGATGAACTTACAGACACTGCGACCCAAGTTGCCATTCCCCGCGTGGGGCGATGGGGAGGAAGCCCCGTGGGAAGTGTCCTCCCACGGGGGGCGCCTCAGCGAGGGTCTGGGAGGAGCTCCTGGGGCCGCTGGGGCAGAAGCACCCAGACCCCGCGCCAGGACGCTCCCTGGCCACCGCCCCCACGCTCTCAGGATGCCCGGGGGACACCCTCTCGCTCGTCACAGAGCTATTAGAGTCTCCGCCGGCCTGCAGCCAAGGTCGCCTGGCACATCCTAAGTGTGCATTTTCTAAACAAAGGCTGGCACTTTCCACTTGGTGTGTGCGGCAGGCACGCACACACACGACTTTGGGGCCATGGTTCCCACCACAGAGCGACCCCGGGTCTGCCAAAGTGCCGCTCGCACGGAACTCACTGCATCGGTCTCACTCCAAAGACACCCTGTGTCTTTTATCACGTGACATTTAAGCTCCAAGAATTAACCAAGATTTTGCGGGGGGGGGATATCAAGGAAATCGTGTTTTCAGCCAGGGCTGGTGTGGCTCAGTGGGTTGAGGGCCAAATATTTTATACACACACCATATATGTAATTCTCCATACATGCACACACATATGTACATACATATTCTGTACGTAAACTCTTTCAGATATAGAAATTTCTGCACAGAATTTTCTGAAGATAAAGTTTTGATATGGTGGTACTTGGTATTATATCCTCTCAGGAATTTTTAAGGGGTATTTTTAAATCACTATTGAAAATATCCCACATTATGACTTGTGGATTTCCACAGTTTGCAACAAATGTAGTCAGTACGAACAGTTTTCTTTTAGGAATTTTGAAGTGATTAGCTTCACCCCCCTAGAGTGGGAGATGCAAAATGAGACGTCGCAGCAGAACACACGTCCTCTGGGGCTTTGTCAGCAGAGGCTGGCTCCGGTCACCACGGGGACCACGGTGCTGTGCCTGGAAAGGGCTTCTCGGAGGTTAAAACGACCGGCGGAAGGACTTGTCAGCCACACAGCTGTTGGCAGAACAGCCTTACCGGTTCCAAACCCCGTCCAACCATGAGGAGACTCCACCGCGGGCAGTTTGATTCCAGCTTAATTAGTCTTTAGGTGACCCCCTGCACCTCTGCGTGAGAAGCTATTAATTACGTGTTTCCTGTTCTGATAGAAGAGTTGCAATGTCCATGGTTCAATACAAAGCAGTGATTGAATGAATGGTTTAAAGAAAATTTTGAATTCTCCACATACGTTGCTCTAAATGACTTTCAGCCTGATCCTAAGCAACAGAAAACTCTTTTTCAAGTTCTTGGGCTTTCTAGGGGTGTGACTTAGGTTGCACACATCACATAGATTCCATGCGTTCACACGCCCACTCACGGCAGACGCATGCACAGATGCTCACATGCACACGGAAGTTTGTATTTGACCTAAATTCACAAAATGAGAGGATAGAATGAATTACTGCACAAATTTGGAAATTATGAACGTACTGTAACAAATGTGAGAATAGTGTGTCATCAGTTGAACAAATATCTTTTTCTATTGCAGTTACATTTTTCTCCTTTATAAACAATCCAGGCACCATAAATCTGGAAGGTACTTCATCTTTCCCTTTTTATGATTATTTTTAAAGATCTTCACCCAAAGATCGTTTAGTGATTTGAGAGAGAGAACTAGAAACATCAGCTGGTTGCTTCTCATATGCACCCTGACCAGGGGTCAAACTACAGCCTGGGCATGCGCCCCGACTGGACATCCAACCCACAACCTTTTGGGGTACCGGACGATGCTCCAACCAACTGAGCCACCCAGCCAGCGCAATCTCTCCCCTTTTAAATGTACTTCCATTCAAGGAGTACAATGTGATGTTGGAAATCTTGTATTTGGTCTAGGCTGAGGCGCTTTGAGTTCAGATGTATGGCAGAGAGCGGTACGGATAAAGATCACTTCTGGTTAACAACTTACAACAAAGACACAGCACTCGCCCTGTGGGAGGTGTTACCAGGGTGGGGAGACACGCTTGCACACTGCTGTCTTTGTCGTGTTCATATCCCTCACCCAGGTACAAAACTGGAATGAAGAGTCTTTGCTAAACTAAGTTAGTAATGCACAAAAGAAGAGGTCAGAATTTGGAAAAGACTTTAAGGTTGTGTGTGTGTGTGTGTGTGCGTGCGTGTGTTGTAAGTGGAGAGACTATGAAAGAGAGTTGTCCAACCACCAGCCAAACCCTGTTGCTCACAGCTGCCTGGGGCTGCAGGTGCTGCCGGCAGTCCCTGGTTGGTCGAAGGGGGCAGGTGAGCAGTCCGGGGACATTCCACACAATCCAGGTGAGGGGTGGCAGCTCCCTAGAACAGGATGGGGTGGCTGCAGGCTCTTGGAGCCCCTCAGGGGACACGACGACATGCCACGCAGTGTCTCAAAACAGACCACACTTCCTCCCAAGTCCCCATGGAACATTTGGAAAACGACCAGCCACTGGGTGTGGGCGGCAGGAAAACTCACAAGCACTACTGACTGAATCTTTAGCATTTTGGATCTTGGAATATAAAACCTGTTCACAGAACATACAGTTTGGAAATCTGACCACATATTTGGCCAGGAAATAAAACCTCAAATTTTTAAAAATGTTATACGTACAGACCAAATTCCTGGGCTATAAACCAATAATCCTTAAATTAATATGATAGCAAAGTTCAGAACTCCCTGAATACTAGACCCTCTTTGGAGGCAACTTACATTAATAAAATCTTAAGAAATAATACAATCTAGGGAAAATGTCTTAAGTGTAGGAGAAACCTGAACATATTTGCACGCAGAAGACTGAGTGAGGAAGTGGGGATTAAAACTATCAGAAACTGGAAGTACGGCGGAGCACGGAATTAGCCTTGGGGATTGATTGCTTCACTGCCTGAGGTCGGGGTGAAGGGAGAGGACTCTGCCCCGGGAGGAAAGCGAGAGCTACCGACACAAATGTAAGAAATGAAATAAATGCATGTGTGCAGCAGCTCTGCAGCACTGCACGGATCCCGGCGCACTCGGGACGAGGCCAGGTTTTCTTAACCCAGCTGCTCGGGCCGGAGCAGCCAGCGGCGCGGAAGGGCGGCTGTTTTCGCCCAGCAGGCGAGAGGGGCCAGCGTCTCGGAGATCCGCAGGTTGCCATCGGCTTCCCCACCCGCGCGCACTCCGACCGTGGAGCCCCGCACGGGCGCCGGCGCGGAGCCGGGTCTGCGGGCCCCCTGCGGGGCAAACCCGCCCAGGCCGCAGCCACAGCTGCACGCCGGCCGCTGGGCCTCCACTTCCTGGAGGCGGGGCGCACGTGCGGAGCGCGCGTCGCACGGGGACTCCCGGCGACCCCGCACGACTCCTGGGCCAAGCGGGCGGGGGCCCCACGTGACGCCCCCACCGGCTTTAGGGGAGGCCTCCGGGTCCCGCGCGCGCGGCCCCGCCGACAGTACCCGCGCCCAGCGCGCGCTTCACCGAGGCCGGCGCACGGCGCGTGCGCACCCCACGCCCACCGCCTCCGCTCCCACCCTCGCCGCGCGGTGACGTCATCGTGCCCCGGGGAGCAGCGGGCGGAGCCTCGGGCACCACCCCTCCCGCTCTCGTGCGCGCTGTGGTCATCGGCCCCCGACACGCGGTGACGTCATCGGCCGCCGACTCGCGGACGGCCGGGAAGGGCCCGCGGGCGGAGCCTCCACCGGGTGGGAGCCGAGGGGCGAGGGCGGGGACGAGCGGCGAGCGGAGAGGGCGAGAAGGGGCGGGGAGGCGGGGGCCCGAACATGGCGGACCAGATCCCTCTGTACCCGGTGCGCAGCGCGGCCGTGGCGGCCGTGGCCAACCGCAAACGCGCGGCCTACTACAGTGCGGCGGGGCCCGGGCCGGGGGCCGAGCGACCCAGCAGGTAACGACGGCCCGCCCCTGCTCCTGCCCCACCCCCTTCGCCCGCCCCGTCCAGGTGCGGCCTGGCCCGGTGGGCCCGCCGCGGGCCGCGCGGGGCGCGGTTCGCCCGCACTTAGAGGACACCGCCCTCCTGGAGGGGCCCGGGGCAGCGTCGGGGACGGGCGGGGCCCGCCCCAGCCCTGCACCCCCCGACCCCGGGGTGCCCTGTCCCCCGGTCCACCCGGAGAAGTGGCTGCCTCCCGTCCGGGGGAGCTGCTCTCGGAGGCGACGCGCGGGAGAAGCCGCGAGCACTGGTCACGAGGACTTGTCAAGTGTCCGAAACTCAGACTGGGGCGCGGGCGGAGACCGCTCGCTGGCTCACGGAGGGCGAGTCCCTTGTTTTCGCCCACGGGGAGAGCACGGGAAGGCGGTTCGTTCGGCTTAGGGAGCACACTTGTTACCGCAAGGAGCGTGTACAGAGCTTCCTGGAGACCCCGGTGTTTGCCCTCAGGAGGGGGAGACGGAGACTTAGGTGAACGTGTTCGGTGCGCCACAGTTCGTCTGCAGTCCAAGCAAACGTACAGACGTTTGATTTAAAGTGAAAGCCTCATACCCTATTTGGTTTTAACTCACTTATTTCACACCCCGAGAGAAGAATTCTGTGCACTTAATAAACGGTAGAGTAATTTGAAACAGAAACTTGTAAGGGGAGATACTGCCTCTTGTGCAGAAGTTACCGAAGTTTTATTCCCGAGGAGTTGTAGGGGCAAGTAGCTTTCAACACACAGAAGGGGAAGCTGCAGATTTCAACACCCTGCCCCGGGAGTCGGGGTTCAGATTTTGCTGCTGCTTGGGTTGAGGAGTGTCCCTTACTGGGTCCCTGCAGTGAATCTTGTCCATCCACTTACTTACCAGCTGTTTGATCTCAGACGCCTTATTGAGACATGAGCCCTGGTTTCCTCCCAGGAACTTGGGGGCTCCTCATGGGTTGCTGAGGGTGAAGGGAGAACCTGGGAAGCTTCCCGGGTCCCTGCTGGGTCAGAAGTACCATTTCCGCCTCCCCCCTGTTAACACCTCCGTGAGTGCGGGCGTCCTAACGGTGTAAGTGGCCAGTTTCCGGAGATCATTGTCCAGCAAGGTGCCACCTGTGTGGGTATAGGTTTCCGGAACAGCTTGGATCTCTCCGTCTTCGAGTCCTGTTCCTGAGGCTCTGTGGTTTGGTGTGTACGCATGTAGGACCCTTATGGCTCCCAGGTGGGTGTCTTTTATTGTTGTACCAAGTTCCTCTCTGTCTCTGCGACTTGCCTCCTCCGCAGCCCACTGAGGTCTGCTTTAGTAGATGCTGACGTGGCCGCTCCTGCTTGTCGTGGGGTCGTGGCTGCGTGGCTGGATCTGAAGTGAGTTGTCGTTGGGTCTCGTTTTCCATTGTGCGCTCCATCGCTCGCTGTCCTTCGGTTGGTGCATTTCAACCATTTATACTTAAGGTGATTACCGGGGGGACCCCCAAAACCTGAAATGTATGTATTCAAATAACTGTATGTTTACTCTTACATGTTTAAACTTCAGTCAGCTTCAAAGTCCTCCCTACCTGGTGCAGTGCACCCACGAGAGCTTTTCTCCGCTGCTCAGAGCAGTTTTCGAGCTCGTCGATTCTGACGCCTTCTAGTGCTCCCGGCGTTTTTGTTTTACCTGTTCCACATCAGCACAATGTTTCCCTTTGAGGATTTTGTTCATCCTGGGAAACAAAAAAAAGTCGCTTGGGACAAGATCAGGTAAATAGAAAGGGTGGGGCTCAGAGGTCATGATGTTTGGGTCAAAAACTGCTGAACACGCAGCACAGTGTGGACAGGTGCACTCCTAACTCACCCATCATGAAATGGGTGAACACATTTAGAGGGTCTTAAAAAAAAACAAAAAATTTCACTGAAGCCAAATGCAGCCTCTCACAACAACACCAGCTGGTCCATGGATACAGACAGGTTCCTAGAACACTCACCTAACGGGGGCAGCCTGTACTACCAGGGGCCCACCCTCCAGAAGATAATTCTGGGGTGTTTTGGGTCCCCCCTCATATCGATGGGTTAGAGTGTAGGTGTGCCCTTTTACTATGTTTTGCTTGTCGTTTATTTTTTCTGGTTCTCATTCCTGTTTCTCTTCTTGCCATCCTTTGGATTACTTGAACTTGCCTTGATAGCTCTAGTGTTTCTGAGTGTAGATATTTGTATGGTTTCTGTAGCGATTGCTCCGGGCATTGCCGTGTACAGGGGAGTCACCAGCATGGGGGGGGGGGGGTGTCAGCATTTTCTTGTGTGGAGTCGAGCGAGGAGACCTGACTTCCGTTCCATTGCCTTTACCCCCCTCTCCCTCCACACCTCACAGCCATGCTGGGTGTCAGGCCATGCCGACGCCTCTTGTTTGAACCGTCAAACGGCACTTGGAAACTCGGGATGGTAAGCCCGCGGCAGGGGCCCTGGTTTGCTCTTCCTGTTACCCCTCCTTCCCAGCGCTCCAGGGTTCCCTCCCTCGTGACTTCCTTTCCACTGGAAGAACTCCCTGCAGCCAGTCTTGACGTTTATCTGAGAATGACTTCGTTTCATCCCCGGAGGAGCGTGTCCTGGGCACGGAGTTGCTGGCTGACGGTTCTCAGCCCCCGGAGCACGGTTCCCTGGGTCCGTCCTTCGAGGCCCCAGCAGGAAGTCGGCCCTCACTCTCCTCCTCCCGCGAGGCGGCGTCCTCCCGCCTGGCACTGCCTGCGAGGTTCTTGTTTGTCTCTACTCTTCAGCAGTCCAGTTCCGATGTATCTCACTTCGTGTGGATTTCTTCAGGCTGTTGTTGGGCATTCATGAAGCTTCTTCCATCTGTAGCTTCTGTCTCACCAAACTTAGGGGATTTTCGCCATCGTTTCTTCGGGCGCTCCTTCAGTTCCGCTTCCCCTCTCCCTCCAGAGCCCCAGGGCTGTCCGCTGGGGCCCTCGGTAGTGCCGCTCCGCTGCCTCGGGCTCCTTTCCTCGGGCTCTCTTCTCCGCGCCGTACACGTTGTGCAAACGCTGTCTGCTTGCTCTCGAGTCCCTGAATTCTGTCCTCTGACAACTTCACTCGGCTGCGGGTTCCTAGACCCACTGATGTTTGGTTTTCAGTTTCACAATTGCTGTTCAAGAGAATGCGTAATTGATTGCTAGAGCATTCTTATGTTTTCTGCTTAAAATGCTATAACACAGGTTCAGTGTCCGAGGTGACCTTGGCTTTGGTGTCGGGCGTTGTCTTTTCTGGGTCGCACTGTGAGTGTTCTGGGTCTGGGTGTGACTGGTGGTTTTCGCCGGGATCCTGGGTGTTTTGTCTCCACTGTTGGGAGAGTGTGGGTCCTACTTATGCCTTTTCTAATGGGATTCCTTTGTGGTCAGTGAACACACTCCATGTGATTGTTTTAAACCTGGTGCGGTAGGTCTTGTGACTGAAGACCCCGGGGCCCTCGAGGAGAGAGAGTGGTGTTGGTGCGGGTGAGACGCTCTGAAGTGTCGACCGGGTCCTGTCGGCGAGCAGAGTGGCGTCGCGTCCCTCCGTGTCGCTGGAGTGCCGTCCGGCGGCGCCTTCGGTCGTCCCGAGCAGGGCGGTGAAGTCGCCCGTGGTAATCGGTTGTGACCCTGCGTTTGTCCGTTTCTCCGCTTGGCTGGCGAGTCTGCGCCCACCGGCTCCGTGGCGCTGCCGTCTGGTGCACACACTCAGGGTTCCTGCGTCCCGGACGGACTGACACTTCCGTCGCCTCCCTGTGTGTCTCTGGTCGTGTGTTTGCTCTGCAGCTTTTACTTTGTCTGACATTATTGTCACCACTCCTGCTTTCCTTTGACTACTGTTCGCCTAGCGTGTAATTTTCCCTCCTTCTGCGTGTAACCTGCTGGTCTCAGAAGTGACTTTCTCGTGGTTGGCGTGTGGGTTTACCCACCCTGCCGGTGTCCGGGGTCTTCGGGGCGCTCGCCCTCAGGGCGGTGCCTGGTGAAGCAGGCCTTGCCCTGCCGCTTTACTTGCTGTTGCCCGTGTTTTCTGTTCCTCCGTTTGCTCTGCCTCCGCACGGGTTACTGGAACGTTGTTTCTGGAGCTCCGTTTTGAGTTACCTGCGGTGGTTTTCAGCGTGTCTCTGTGCGCGGAGGTTCGGTGGTGTGTCTCGGTGCCGTGCAGACACAGGCTGTCACAGTGTAGCGGTGCCGGCAGTTTGTCAGTCTGAGTCAGGGGTAGGATTCTTACCTTTTTGTGTCCCCGAATGCTCCCTGGGGGTGATGCAATTTCTTGTCCAGGCACACGCAGCCCTGGCCGAGCGGCTCAGTGGGTTGGGGCGTTGTCCCGTAACCAAGAGGTTGTAGGTTCTGTCCCCGGCCAGGGCACATCCCACGGTGCGGGTCTGATCCCCGGGTCGGGCCGTGGTCGCTGGGGAAGCGATTGATGTTTCTCTCGTACGTCATGTTTCTCTCTCCCTCTCTCTCTCTCTGTCCCCCACCCTCCCTCTAAAATCAGTGGACGTGTCCTCGGGCGAGCATTTTCTTCTAAAAAGTATATGTGAATGTTACATATGTAAAAGTACATAAACAGTTCTCTTATATACAATTAGAACCAAGTAGCAGTGTTATAACTTTTGTTTCATCTTTCAAACATAATTCATAAAATTCGAGAGAAGGAAAGCCTATTGTATTGACCCACATTGTTTGTTCTTTCTGTTCTCTTATTTCCGGATTTCCCAGAATTCCTCATTTTATTATTTCTATTCTGTTTTAACAATTTCTTAGCTATTCTTTTAAGGTAGGTCTGCTGGAAACAAGTTCTGTATTTATTTTTCTTCATCTGAGAGTATCTCATTTCCCCTTTATTCCTGAAGGATAATTTGAGCAGATAGACGTGCTGGAGTTGACAGTTCTTTTATTTCAGCACTTGAAACACGTTGTGTCACTTTCAGTCCCCTCCCCCGCTTCTGCCGCTGCCACAGGGCAGCGGGTGCCTCAGAGCTGGGGCTGCCCTGCTGCTGCTGCTGCTGCCGCCTGGGGGACAGGGGACGGGGGACGTGCGCTCGGCCAGAAGGGCAGGTGCCCACTCGGGGGCCCTTCCTGCGGGGCTGCCGCCCTGGTCCGTGGCCGGAGGGCCCGGCCTCCTCGGGCTGTGCCTGTGGGTTCTGTGGCTGCCGCTTCTGGTGCGCAGTGGGGCCCCACGAGGCGGGAGCGGAGGCCCCTGGGCTGGCGGCCCCTCCAGGTCGGCCTCCTCCTCTCTTCCTCCACCTGCCCCCTCTTGCCTCCAGGGCGGGGGGTGCTGTGTGGGGTGCTGTGTGGGGCATGGGGAGGTGTCCCCTCAACCTGGTCCACAGCCAGCAGGGGCGGGGATTGACTTTTGTTCTTCGTTTCCTCTTTTTATTTTAAAGTCTCATTCCTTCCCAGTTTTTGACGCAGTTCACACACCGCCCAGTCTTCCCGGGACAGTGTAAGTTGCAGGGCCGCGGCGCGCTCACAGGTGAGCGCAGCCATTACCGGCCAGCGGTGAGGACACTTCCGTCCCCGACGCCGGCCCCTCGCAGCCGCCCGCAGGTTTCTCTCCTCGTGGGGGAGCGCGCAGGACGGCACAGGCCCTCGTGAAGCGCGCTTTCGACGTGCTGCAGACCTCACGGCCGCAGCGGACAAAGTTTTATGTCACAGTTACGGCGATTAAAACGTTTACAGTCTGAGAAACGGTGTATTAGCATACAACTGAAACTAGAAAGCGGAAGCGAGAGTAGTCTCTGTTTTTGTCATGTCTACCGGGGCATCGCTGTGGCTAGACACGCACCGTGTGGCCTTGTGTTTCCAGAAACCTGCGTTTGCACCGGGAGGCCTTTCTGCCCTTGGTGGTGGCTGAGAGCGAATTAGTTGTGGGAGAGGCCTCTCTGGTGCCGGCTCCGCTCCGTGGACCAGCCTCGGGAGCCGCTGCCCTCGGCGGCCGCAGGGAGCCCGGCCTGGCGCGGGCCCTGCCTGGGGGCCGCAGGCTCCCCTTGGGGGAGCGGACTCGTCCTCCTGTCGTTACTGTCGCGCCAGCGTGGGGGTGCCACGTGTTCAAAATGTCACGTCGGCGAGTCGTCACAGCGCGTAGACATTTTCACCGTTGGGTTTGCGCTTCATGACGATTTCCCGCAGAAGACTCCAGCGTGACCTGAGAACAGGTTTAGTAAATGTTAGACGTCCAGTGTCGTGCTGTTCTCTTTACCGCGGAGGGTGAGGGTGGTCGCGTGCGCCTGTGCGAACGCGGCCAGGTCAGCGAGATGCCGCACACCCCGCACAGGTGTCTGTGGGCTCAGGTGTCCGTGGGCACAGGTGTCCGTGGGCCGCTCGGGATGCAGCTCCTGAGGGAGGCCGCCCTCGGGGAGGCTCCGGCCAGCCTCTGGCCTGCTCCTGACGGCCTGGGGAGGAGGAGGAGGGTGCCCATTCTCCGATGTTTGTGTTTCTGTCCTTTCGTTGGTGCCCGTGTCCCTCAAACACCTTCCCCTGGGGGAGGGAGGGGGAGAGACGGGGGGGGGAGGGTAGGCACTGGGTGTGGTTTGTTTCTCAGAGCCTGTGAGTGCCACCCCCCCCCCCCGCCCTGCGACCCCCGGCCCCACTGGGGGACGGACGGACGGAGGGACAGACGGATGCCTGGGGCCCTGGTGGTGGGTGTGGCTCTGCAGCTCAGCAAGGGCACCCCGCGCCCCAGCTGCACAGGGAGGCTGCACCCGAGGAAGCAGACGCTCGCTCCTGGACGGCGCTGCGGCTCCTCGGTTCGCTGACACGCAGGCGAAGGGGCCCGTGTTTCTTTCTCTTCAGGAAGGCTTGAGCGTTGGTGTATTTTAAAGGTGTTCCTCAAGTGTCGGTTGACTTCTCAGAAACGTTTCTTATCAAAGTGGAAGCAATAAGGCTGTTATACTTAAGATAAAAGTGTGAGTTGAGGCTGGTTGTCGTGCTGCCCTGTTCTTACCGGGGCGCGTGTGAATAGCGTGTCTCCCGGCGTCTGCGAGCCGGACGGCCCCCAATTGTCTTCAGCCCTCGGCAGCGGCTGAGGCAGCTGTCTTCCCTTCTCACACGCGGGTCTCCTGGGTGTGGTGTCATCCGCTCGTCGGCTTTGTTCGCATTGTTTTTACTCGTTTTAGAAATATGTTTCCAGAATGATACTTAATTGCTGCAAACGTTGATTTTTCTTGAGTGACAAACCAATCAAGTTTGCATGACACCAGGCAACAAAGACACTTAAGATTCTCTGCTTAGCCCGTCTCTGAAGCAAATCCATTATTCATCATCTTATTGTTTTCAAATACTGAGGTGAGACGCTCGGCACAATAGGAAAATTGCTCTGGAAATGGGGTAAATTGCTCACCAGTTCAAAGGCTCCTTTCTGCAGTCGAGGCTGCCGCTGCTTCTGCTCATTGTCTCCGAGACCCATTGTTCCGCCCGCCCGGCGTGGAGCCCTCTCGCGGAGTCTGTCGGGGGGCGGGGACTCCGGGTGGCGGCAGCGTGGGCCCGGGCAGCGTGGTGAGCAGGGCTGGGGGTCCCCTTCTGTGTGCCGCACCGCCGCCGCGAAGCGGTGTCGGGGTCTTCACCACGTTCTGTGTGAGAGCTCGTTTCCCAGCCAGGCCGACTGTTCCCAGCGCGGCCGACTGTTCCCAGCGCGGCCGACTGTTCCCAGCGAGACTGCGCTGTGCGGAGACCCAGACCCAGGGGGAGCTACGGGGAACACGGCGTCTCCTTCAGGCCTGTGCTGCTGCGAGCTGCCCCCCCCCCACCGCCATGGGTGGGCCAGCCCCCAGGGGCGCTGGCGGGGGCGGGGCTGCCAGGGGCAGTGAGGTGTCCCCGGCGGACGGCCGCTATCCCGACTCGCTGCTCGCAGGGCGGCGGCGCTCAGCTCTGCGTCTGAGCGGCCTGAGCGCGGGGAGGGAGGCTCCCCGCCCCCCGCCTGCGGGCGCCCTTTGTACGGCCGGCCCGGCGGCCGTGTCCTGGCAGGGGAGCCTCGGACACAGGTCAGGTTCTCGCGGGCCGGTCGGGACCTGCGGCCGGAGTCAGCTCGCGGCGCCGGGGAAAGGAGGCTTTTGCCGCGTCCTCATGCAGTCTTCTCTGGTCTGTCCCCGTCCGGCAGGTACCGGCTGGAGGACGAGTCCGCGCACCTGGACGAGATGCCGCTCATGATGTCGGAGGAGGGCGTGGAGAACGAGGAGAGCGACTACCACACGCTGCCCCGGGCCCGGGCGGCGCGGCGAGGACGCGGGCTGCGGGGGCTGCCGCGGCGGCTCTGCGGGGGCTGGGCGTCCCTGTGCACCAGGTGTGTGGCCCGCCGGCAGACGCACACCCGAGGGTGCCGTGCGGACGGCGTCCCAGGGTCGGTCGCGCCCCTCGGCCAGGCAGCCGGGTCCCCGTTCAGCAGCATGGCTCTGTGCCCGCGGCTGCCTGCCCTGGCGGGGCTCACGCGGCTTCTGTGCCTCTGGCCGGAAGGGAGGGAAGGGAAGAACTCGTGTCTCAGACAAGGTCGCTGGCGGTTGAGATAAACTGATGCTGTGTGTGGTGGGCACTAAATTGGTTCGCCTTTGACCTTAGCGTTTGGTGTGTGAAAGCACGCCGCCTGCCAGGGACCCTGTGCCCCTGGCTGCCCTGCCCGCCCCCGGGACAGGCAGGATGGGCTTGGGCTGACCGGGCCCTTGAGGGGGTGTGTCCACAGGCTCCCACGGTCACCGTCTTCCCGCTGCTCGAGGTTTGCGGTCGGTGCCTTTCCTGCGGTCGTGAACTTGCACCCCTTTGCCCGGGAAAGGGATGAACGTGATTGCAGAACAGTGTCTTGTCCGCTGTCCTTCGCATCGTCCTGCTAGAAGTTTGCAGACAGGCGTGTGACGCCCGTTGTGATTTCCGGGTCAGCTCTCGGAGCGGTGCTGACGCTGCGCCCCGGGGCCCCTGGGGACGGAGGAGCCCCTTGGGGACCGGCAGACGGAGCCAGGCAGCAGGCAAGGCCCTGTGGGGCGCGGGCTCGCCGCCCCCCCCCCCAATCACCGCGGCCCCACCCTTGGTGTTCTGACGTGTGTGTGAGCTTCCCGCGCGAGGACGGACTCTCGTGGCCAAGCAGCTTCTAGGAGTTGCTGACGTGTGAAACCAATGTTAAAACCTTCTGTGTCTTTTAAAAAACCGTCCTGTGGGTTACGCAGCCAGTGTTCCAGGCGTGTTCCAGCCCAGGGCGCGTCCCTGCGTGCTCCTGGTGGGCACTCGCTGGGGGGACGCAGACTCTGACGGGGCGCAGGGCGCTCAGGCACGCGGCCCACGAGGCCTGAGAGCTGCGGACGTGCCGTGTGTCCGGCCTCCTCACGGTGTGGGGAGGACGCTGTCAGAGTGACCGCTCCTGGCCCTTCACGGGGCTCCGTTCGCATTGACGGCGCACCACCGGGCGTGGGGTTCCATCTGTGACGTGTTCCTTTTCTCGAGGGGAATGTTAAGGACACATCTGACGATGCAGGTGTCTGCAGCGGTGACACCCATGTTGGGGACACAGACATGCAATAAAACATGCAAGACCCGTGTGAGCGGAGAAGCAGACCGCGCCACGTGGGCAGCGCCGGTCGGTCCTTGTGGCCCCGGGGCCGGGCGGGGTCGCAGTGTCGGCCACCCCGAGAAAGTGCTGCGCGGCAGAGACCGTCTCCCGGAGCAGACTGTGTGGCTGGCCGCGCGCAGCAGGTGCTCTCGTTCTCTGCGCGCCTCGCGAGCCTCCGTCTCGAATGCCCGCTGCGTTCCGGGGCCTGAGCACCCGGCAGGGTGGAGCTCCGTGCCGCCGATGCCAGCAGGGGTGGGCGGAAGAGCCGGAGTCGGAGGGTGCTGCGGGGTGGGCGGGGGGAGTACGGGAGGCCCCCTTCTGCAGTGCCTGCAGGGAGCCGGCCTGCTGCGGAGTCTGGGACTCCTCGGGGCGATGCGGAGGCTCCAGTTTCTTCGTGGCGTGAGAACTGCTTCCTCGTCTTTACGACCGGGCACTGAACCCCAGCTCTGCATGTCGGAACTCTGTTTTCTGTCGCCTGTCCTGTGACACTCCGACTGTCCTGTGACACTCCGCCTGCCCGTCCCGGGCGGGGCTCCCAAGCGCGGGGGCACCTGAGGTTCTGGGGCAGGCGGGGCCTTCTCCCGAGGTTCCCATCCCCTCTCGCCAGAAACCGCTCCGTCCCCGGGACAGCGAGGCCTGACCGGCGTCTCCCTGTGCGCGGGGCTGGGGGTCCCGGGCGAGCCGTATTCCGGGCTCTGAACGGCCCCCACGGGCGGAGGACGCGCCCCTCATGGGGGTGCAGAAGCCCGGGCTCGGGGAAGCGCGGGTTTCCCTCGAGGCCCGAGTGCCGTGCTGCCTGTGGCTCGGAGCCAAAGGGCCCTGGCGGACGCAAGGGGGCCTGATTCTTGGGAGCCGGCCGCCGGTGCGGGGAGTCCCCGAGCTGGGGCTCGTGGCAGACCCAGGAGACGGCGTCTGGGGGCGCACAGGAAGACACCCCATGTGGTGCTCGAGCGCTGCCTCGGTGCCGCGGGCGTCGGGACAGTCTGGTCACTGAGACCTTCCTTCCGAGACGTGCAGCTTGTGCACCCCCGGATGCAGGCTCAGTTTCTGCGAGGTGACTTGTCTGTAACTGGGAAGGCGTCTTCCGCAGCACCCACAGTTTGGGGACTTCGTAGCCGTAAGAAACACCGTTCCGTAACCTTCCTGGTTCTGTGCTTCCAGAGGCTTCTCCTCGTCCCCCCTCGTCTGTCAGTGCTCGGCCGCGGGGCGGTCTCCCGTCCCTCTGCCCGAGGTCTGTCCCCGTCGCTCTGCCCCCCGGGGCAGGTTCCAGGCTGGCGGCTGCGAGGACCTCACCTGGGGCTCCGTGCCCTTGACTCTCAGCACCGAAGTCGCCGGCCCTCCCCTGGCCGCGCCGGACAGCCCGCAGGCCTGCAGCCGTTCTGGGGAGGGCCGGGCCCTTGCAGCAGCCCCGTGTGGATTCGCTCACGCGGTTCTTTGAAGCCGAGCATGGTTCGTCTGTGGCTCCTTCACCACCACTTGATTCTGTCTTTGCGTAAGGCAGTAATCACAAATACCACTTTTGTGCGTCAACAGTTGTCGGTAGGCTAGCGTTACGAACAACTTAGCTGTATCTTGGAAGTCTAGGCTTCTCCGTCTGTGGCATACAGAGTTACAGGGACAGGTTAGTCGCCTGTGGGACGTGTGCGTTGGGCCTCGGCTGTGACTCAGAGTGTCGCAGGGCAGGGCCCGCGCCCTCGCTCCAGCCGGCGCCGCGGTGGTGGCGCAGGCCTGGCCTCGCGCCGACACGGCCTCGCGCCTGAGAGGCTGCAGGGGCCAGCGCAGACCCTGCCAAGTGCACACCCGAGTTTTAGGGCGCGCTGCTGGATCTCGCCCTCGGTGCCCCTCTGATGCTGATGCTACAGAATCGCCACGGTCCAGGACAGGAAAACAGCGATGACGCGGGGGGCGGGTCACCTCGAACCACCCAGTGGAGCCCCCAGAGCCCCTGCTGGGGGCGGGCCTCTCCTCTGCGCGGGGAGCCCCCGCCGCTCCGGAAGGTCAGTGGTTCCGTTTCCCACGACGGTCTGCTCGGGAAGGCCGCTCCCCCGGGTCCCGAGTCTCCCCCATCGGGGGAGTCGGTGCGCCGCGCCTGGCCTGGGCGGCCCTGCAGCCGGCGCGAGAGGCCCGGTCAGTGCCTGGCGGCCACGGGCGCCGTCCCCAGGGGCCTGAAACGCCGGAAGCAGTTTGAAGAGCACACACCGTGTCTGTCCTTCCTCTCGCGCAGCTGCTGCGACTGGCTGGTGAACGTCTGCCGGAGACAGAGGGAGCTGAGGGCACGCACCGTGTGGCTCGGGCGCCCCGAGAAGAGCGAAGAGAAGCACCCCGGAAACTCCATCAGAAACCAGAAGTACAACGTCTTCACCTTCATCCCCGGGGTGAGACGCCCGCGTCCCTGCCGACGGGCTGCCTGTCGGAGATCGCGGGCTTCCTGTGCTTTCGCTGTTTGTTGTTTGTTCTCCGTTTTTTCCCTGTCACCGGCCTCGTCTCTTGCTTTTCAGCCATGTTTAAACCATTGTTAGGTAACTCACACGCATTTCAGTGGACATGCCACAGAGTTCAGCTGGAGAGCATTTACGTTTTGATTGTTGCTTTCAGTTCTAGATAAACATCCTATCTATGTTATCGTAGAATTAGTCAAGTAAAGCTAAGTAAAATGACCGGGAAATGAGGGTGAGTTTTGTCTCGCTGGAAGTCTGTCTGGAGGGAAGGGTGGAACGCAGCGCCGAGAGCCTGCCCGGGCACGTCACGGGCACGTCACGGTCACGTCACGGTCACGTCACGGTCCCGGCAGCACGGTCTCCTCGGACCCGTGACTCAGGGACGGAACGCCCGCTAGTGTTTACGGCCACCTGTTCTTCTGCACCTTGTAAATGCTGTGCCTCGTCGTAGTGTTCCGACTCTAGTTCTCTTCAATGGGTGCTGTCCTAATTTTATGACTTTATTGAGTTACAGCCCTGAGTTAGTGTGTGTCACAGTACTAAACAGTGGCACAGGTTTGGTTCTGGTGCACCGTTCCCTCCTCGGTGACAGACTTACCCACCTTGCCGAGGCCAGAGGGGCACTGGCGCGGACTGCATCTCCGTGTCGGGGTGCCCGGCACGTCCCGGGCACTGGCTCTCGTGTGGTTTTGCCAGGGAGTCTCTTTGTCGTGCGACACGAGGGCCGCTTTGCCCCTCGTGAGTCGTTTGTGGTGTCGTGCCGACTTCATGTGGGCACTGACCACCGCCACCGTCCCCTCAGAAGTTGGCCAGTGCATGGTGAGCACCTCGGGCCCTCCCAAAAGACATAGCCGATGTTTGCGGTTCGGGGACGGGCCCTCTGCCAGGACGGTAGCGTGCGAAGTGTCTTTCGGACAGAGAAGCTCGCTCACCTGCAGTGAGCCGTTGTCCCCGGGTTTGCTGTTGAACACTCGCAGACTGGCCGAGACCGGCACAGTTTCCTGAAGGTCCCCACCCCTTCGGTGGACGGTGACAGAGGTTCGGAGCTGGTGGGGCCGCCCCCCGAAGACCGGCGCGGCCGCCCGGACGGCTGCCCCCGAGCACCTGTGGGTGGTCTGCACACTGCGGCTGTGTGAGTGATGCTTTCTTAGGTTGTCTCTTAAATTAGTCTTTTCATCTAAAACGTAGTATTTTAGAAACATTTGGTAATTGCACAGTAGGAAATCTATTCCGTTTTTAGTGTGAATGGCAATTTCTGAATTGCTAATAGGTATAATTTATGCTAACTGAGATTTTAAAGAAATCACTGAGGAGAAAGAGGGCTCTCCGTCCTGCTGGGATTCATTTATGAAATGATTCCAAACGTTGCCGACAGCCGTTGCACACGATGACGCACGTAAACGCGCCACCCGCGTGACTGACTGTTCGGTCGCACGCGCGGCTGAGTGGTGACGCGACCCCTCCGCTCTGCGAGAGCCGTGGTTCCCGACTCTGAATCCGCAGCTCGCGCTCGGCCCGGGCCCTGCTCCGTGACAGCGGCGCCCGGACCTTCCAGTCTCGGGGCGGCGGCGTCCCAGGGGGCCTGGGTTTGCGGGGTGCGCGCGAGGTCCTGGTGAGTCTCCTTGGAGCTGTGACGCGCTGCGTGAGTTGTTCTCATCTGTACACAGGAGCTTTGTTCCGTTTGAATTTCAGTTTCAATCTATTGATTTGAAAATTTGTAAGTAGAAGTCTACTAATGTACTAAGTCTTGTTTTTCTACCTTAAAAATCATCCTGTGTGAACTAAGCAAAAACACAAACTCACAGGATGTGCATCTCTAACGCTCGATCGAATGGTGGTGTTTGTTTTGTATTTCGAATGACCGTGGGAGACCAGGTATCGGGGGCCGTGCAGAATACGTAGGCAGCCGTCTTCCGGAAGACCGGCCTGTGGTTGGCGTGTCCTCACGTTTTACCGTCTCCTGCGCTCTGAGTGAGGCCAGTGCTTCCAGGAGGTGAAGGCAGTTCCGCAGGAAACCACGCCTGTGTGTGTGTTGCTCACTCGCTCAGCCTTCGTAAAGCTGCCAGAGTCCGCGGTCAGGCAATGTGGCGGTCACGTCTTACTGTTTACCCTGTCCTACGCACAAGGGTAGCACGACCCCTCCATCCCAGTGTCTTCTGAGTTGGTCTTGAGACGCACGCACCTGCGTGCGTGTGTCCTCGCCGACGGCTCAGCCTCGGGGAGGCCGGGCCGCGGGCTGCTCGGCTGTGGGTCTGACGGGTCACGGACGGGAGAGGGTCCGGCACAGGGCGGCCGTGCTCGGGAGCGTCCAGAGCTGTTCAGGGGCACGTCCGACGTCGTCGGGCGCTCTGATGGTCCTCTCACCAGTTTCGTTTTAGACATAGGTTGGGGGTAATGTTGTCTTTCTTTACATATGGTTCACTTTTTGGAAAGCTGGTGTCAAAATTGTTACATGGATTCAGACTTAAGGCACGTTTACTGCTTCATGGAAATGCAGTTTCACTGGGTGTTGTGCTGGTTTCACTGTTTAGTGAAGACTTCCCTCGGAGCAACTGTTGATTTTTCCTTCTCCTCCGCAGGTTTTGTACGAGCAGTTCAAGTTCTTCCTGAACCTCTACTTCCTGCTCGTCTCCTGCTCCCAGTTTGTGCCGGCGCTGAAGATAGGCTACCTCTACACCTACTGGGCCCCTCTGGTGAGAGGGGCTGGGAGTCAAGTTCACGATCAAACGTGTACTTGTTAAAGACTCTACTTACGTCCTTAGACGTTATTTTTAGACGGGGGGTAAGGAGAGGAGAAAGGGAGGGAGAGAAACACCAACGTGCGATTGCCCCTCACCATCCCTGGGCCTGCGTCCCCTCACCTGCTCCTTCGGGGCAGGCCCGGGGTGCGGGAGCGGCGGTGGTAAAAGGGGGTGTCCCTCCTCTCCTGCTCGCAGCCGAGCTGCTCCAACGCCGCATTTCCTTTTGTTCTACAGGGGTTTGTCCTGGCCGTCACGATCACCAGGGAAGCAGTCGACGAGTTCCGGCGCTTCCGGCGGGACAAGGAGGTGAACGCGCAGCTGTACAGCAAGCTCACCGTGCGAGGTGGGCGGGTCGCCCCTGCGGCGGCGCGAGCACACGCGCGTCAGAGCTTGCGCGGAGGAGAGGGCGCGTGTCCTCGCCGAGGGTGGCGCCGGGTGGTCGCGTGTGCCGTGTCTAGTTCGTTCTCACGTGATGCCGCGATACTCTTCCGGGGTGGACGTTCACTCATCCTCTCGGTTCCTGGACGCACCCGTGGGGCTGCAGGCACACACACACGCATGCGTGCACGCATGCACACACGGATCCACGATCGCCTGACGCGCTCTGTCCCGTCCGTGTACTTAGACGCGTGTGAACCCCCGGCGTGTGCACGTTCTCCGTGAAGCGTGACGGCGCTGCATTAGAGCTCTCTCCGCGCCGTGTTTGAGCCCAGTCCTGAGGGCCCGGTGGCCGGGACCCCGAGGCTGTGCTTGCGGGAGGGACTCTGAGGGGCTGCAGTGGCGTCAGGCCGCGAGCGGAGACGGATGTGTGCCCGCTGCTCCTGGTCCCTCGCTCGGGCTTCTCCTGTGCTGTGCATTCTGTGCTTTTTAACGAGCCCGTTGCCGTGGTTTCCGGTCCCGGCAGAAGCTGCTGTAGGACGAGGACGGGTGGGGCTCTTACACACAGGTGCCGGGACCGGAGGGGACGGGGGGGGGGGGGGCGGGGGCCCCAGGCCCCAGGGCCTGTCTGATACTTGGGTGTGCGAAGCGCGCTCCGTGTCTTCTGCTTGCAGAAGACGTCTGCACGGTGGGTTGCGTGTTTGAAGGAATCCCGCCCGGAGCAGGTCTTTTCATACTTGATTGGGATGCGTTTCATGGAGCCGTGCAGTCCACGGTTTTCGGCGCATTGACAGAGGTAGGAAGCCGTCGCCACCACGACTGAGAACCCGTGCCGCACTCTGGAGAGAGCCACTGGCCGATGGCCGCTGGCTGCACCCACAGGCGTCCCCCCGCTCCCCCCGACCTCCCGCGGCCTCGTCCCTGCGGGCGTGCCCTCCGGCTCACGCTGCGCACATGGGCCCACTGCGCAGGGGGCCTCCGGTCCCCGGCTCCCGTCACTGGGCGGGGTCTGTGCAGGGTTGGCCCCCGGGGTAGCAGAGGCAGTGCTGTGCCTCTCGACGTTGCCAGACACGTTCCACGTGCAGCAGACGGCACGTCACGCGGCGCCGGGCGGGCGGCGCTCTGCCTGTCTCGTTCCCGCCGAGACCCCCTGGACCCTGAGGGACGTCCCTGGCGTCATCGGCCGCGGGGAGCCCGCTCAGTCCCCGCTTGGTCCCTGCTCAGTCCCCGCGGGCGTCGGGCTCTCGGCCGAGCGCTGCCCGGGCCTGTGTGCCGCCCGCGGCCGTGGTCCGGGTGCCAGGCACTGGGCGTGGAGAGGCCCCGACTGTCACCGGGTGCACTGTGGTCGCCCCAGAGCCCGCCCTTGCTCCCCTGCCCCGGGGGTCGGGCCTCCTCCACGCTGGGACGGGCTCCTCTGAGCCCCGCCCCCTCTGCAGGTGGGCCTTTTCTCGGTGGTCTCGGGCCGGCGACCTGGGGCAGGGACCCTTCCTGTCTCTGCGGCCGCTGCAGCCGCCTCTGCTTGAGGCGTCCTTTCTGAGGACGAAGGCTCTGCCGAAGGAACTCCGGTCCACAGAGATCTGCCGCTGTGTTCCTCCTGGTTTCTCTCCTGCTTTGTGTTTTGTTTCAGGGCCCACATCATGCACACACACACACACACACACGCATACACACGCGTGTCCATGTTGAGGACATGTGCCGGGAGAAGGTGTGGGCATGAGCACTTTTCCTGCTCGCGGACCTCCAGTCGTTCTAGCACCATTTTTGGAACCGGTGACCTCTCCCCTGCGTCGCCCTGCGCACACTTCTGTGAGAAACGACGTCCCTTCCGAGTGCGGGTTCAGTTCTGGCCTCTCTTCCGTCCCGTGGGTCTGAGCGTCTGTCTTTGCGCGAGTGAGTCCCACGCCCTCGTGACCACGTTGCTCTGGGCTGGTCCCCGAAGTCGGGTGCTGCCCGCCCTCCGCTCCATTCTCCGTCTGCGGAGCCGTCCTGGCCGGCCTGGGTCCTGGCGTCTCCGTGCGACTGCGGGCCCGTGTCCGTGAGGCGGGCGGCTGGGGTGTTGGTCGGGGTCCCACTGAACCTACAGGTAAATCTGGGGGGATTCACATCCCAATAACGTCGAGTCGCCAGACCCGTGAATGAGATCGCTCTCCCTTCATTTAGGTCTTTCAAGTTTCTCTCAGCAATGATGCTTCGTCTCCCCTCCAGAGCGTAGATCTCTCTTTAAATGGCGTGTGTGTGTGTGTGTGTGTGTGTGTGTGGTGTGCGTGCAGATAAAACCATCCGCTGCTCATTTCCCAGCTCCCCACTTTGCCTTGTCATCTGTGTTAAATCGGGCTCCTCCCCCCACACCCGCCCACGTGACCGAGGTTGGCCAGGCAGCCCGCGGGGCCGTGGGGTCGTCTGCCTGCTAACTCGACGCACCCCGCCCCCCCGCTTTGGGGTGCGTGCGCTCCTCGGTGACCTGTGCACGCCGTCCTGGGGGCGTGGGGCTGGGCGGTGAGTGGCCAGTGTGTTCCCAGACGTGCTGGGTGACCTGTCTGTCTGGTGAGGCGTGTTCCCGGGCGTGTGTCCTCTTTGGCCCGCTGGGACCACCAGCCTGCTCCGGCGGACCACGGCAGAACGGGCTCAGACACCCCCTCGTGCTTGGAAGCGGGTGTGTCTGGACGCGGTGCCGCCGTGCGGGGCGCACCGAGTGTCCTCCGAGTGCATCTCGGTCGCACTCGCGGGGCCAGGTGCCCGCGACGGGCCCGGCGGGGGGCTGTGGCTGCACCCTGGGTGGGGGGCGCCCGGCGCTGGTTCCTGAGGGCGCAGCGAGGCTCCGTGTGCCCTGGGGCCAAGGCAGTCTGGGAGGGGCGAGGTTTGGGGGGACAGGAGACGCGTCGGAGGGGGAGGGGGTCGCCACGAGGCAGTGGGACAGGGGCCGCGTGAGGGCGCAGCGGGGACGGCGACAGGGGACGGGGACAGGGGACGGGGACGGCTCGCGGGCCAGCTCGCTGCTCGGGGGCCGGCTCTGGGGACCCCGCGAGGAGGGAGGCAGGTGTGCGTGGCCTTCCGAGCGGTCGCCGGGTCAGGGAGCTCTCTGGGCGGAGTGAGCGGAGTGAGCGTGGCCCTTGGTGTCTTCAACCTGTTCGTTGCACGGTCACGCGGAGCCGGGGGAACCGGCGCCGGAGACCGTCCGGCGGCCCGCTCTCCTCACACAGACCGACGGTCCGAGCCGCAGGGGGCCCGGGGGGGGGCCCCTCTGACCCCAGGGAGCCCCCGCACCTCGGCCCGCAGGACGGGCGAGGCGAGCGTGTCTCTCCCGCGGGAAAGAGGCGCCACCCGCCCTCCTGCAGCACCGCGGTGGGGCGCCCGGGGGCTGGGAGCCCGGGGGCTGGGCACGGAGACAGTGGGGAGGCCTGGCCGGGCCGTTCGGGCAGGCCGAGGACTGCTGTCGCCTCGCTCCGCGCCGCTCGCTCGTCAGGAGGGCACCAGAAAGGGAAGGGCCGGCAGGGGGTGCCTCCCTGCGTGGGGACCTGACAGCGGGCGGGGCAGGGTGGGACGGTGCTCCTAAGGAAAGTTGGTACCGGTTCAGACACTGAAGCGTGCGCTGCGGTGTCCTCACGGCTGTGCTCGGGACTGGCCTGGGTCCGTGTCCAGTCTCACGCGCCCGTTTCACGGACACTCAGGTCGACGCCCCTGTGGGTTGGGGCGGTTGTGTTCTGTGCGTGTGGTGGCCTGTCGCATTCAGGGGCGTTCTGTTGTCACCCGTGTCTGCCCACTCTGGTGTCCGTATTTCTCCAGGGCCGGCCGCCGGCTCTGCGCCCAGAGGGCGGCAGCAACCGCACCATTCGCGTCCCTGCGGCTGTTCAGAGGGGCAGCAAAGGTTGCGGTGCGGGGCTTCCCGTGGGCCCGCTGCGTGGGCCCAGGCGGTTTTCCTGCTCCCCCCGCCGGGCCGCTCACGGGGCAGGACTGCAGGAAGGGGGCCCCGGAGGACGCGCAGGCCTGCCCCGGACCCCAGGGTGAGCGTGAGCTCCGAGATGTGTCCCCTGAGCACCAATGGGAGGCAGACTGTCGTACTGGCCCGGCCCCGGACTGCCTGGCCTCCCCTCTGTCCACTCCACGCGAGGACACTGACGTTGGAGAACCTCATTCACGCTGCCTCCTGCCTTGGACTGTGTTCCTTAGCGTGGAGTTGCAGGTCAGTCGCGTTGGAGCGAATAACGGTCACTACGTAATGCCTGAGATCGAAGGCTATTGAGTCTGAATTCTGTCTGCTATGTGAAAGATAGTAACTTTCTCAGAAATGTAGAATCTTGGTCAAGAAGGCAAGAAAGGGTATGTTTCTGTTTCAGAACACTGTAAAATGTGTTGACTGCTTGTTTGTGGCACGGTGGTCTGGGACGGGGGTGCAGAGGCCGAGGGGAGGGGCGGTGCGTGGGCGGGGGGCAGGAGCGAGGTGAGCGGTGCCTGGCGGGGGGGGGGGGCTCCGTGGAGGCCGGGGGGGGGCGGGGGGGGGCGGGTGTGGACAGGAAGCTCCGAGTGACCAAGGGAAAAGGGATCAGAGCAGGCGTTCCGTTGTGGCTGCTTTCTGGCTGTTAACAGATGCACGCTGACCCATCACGGAGACAATGCAAGCCCTGTTGCACAGGTGACTCTAAAGGATGTTGCTGTCTCATGAATGAAAAGTGCCTCTAGCCCGTGTGTGTTATGTCATCGAGGACCGTGACAAGTGTAACAGCATTTGCAAAGCTTGTTGACGCCTGCAGATAGCTCTTAGGGACCAGCTGGGCATCACCGGAGCTCAGCCCCCCCCCGCCACCCCCCGTGAGGAGGCGGCGTTCCGGCGACCAGGCTCTCTGGCTGGCGGGGCGGGTCTGGTCTGGGGCGCGGTGGGGTGCCGGGAGCGCGCCGGGAGCTCGTCTCCGTCCCGCCAGCCGAGTAAACTGGGTGTTAAAGCGCCTGCGGGAGCGTGGAGACTCATAAGGCCGGCGCCGGTCCAGACACAGACAGGGCGCGGATGGGGCGGGGGTGGCGGACACTTGGGGTCAGGGGGAACTCGGGGCCTCATCTTGGCGGCCTGTCACCTGCTCTGCGGGGCGGGGCCCTCCTCTCAGGCGGGTGTCAGAAGTGAGTAGTGTGTGTGATGGGGGTGCAGCCGGCAGGAGGGTGTCGACTCCCCCCCCCCACCCCGCCCCCGTCTGACGGAGCCTCGGGCCCTTGAGCCCCGTCCGGGCCTGTGTCCGGGACATTGCCGGGGAGGGCGTCATGCTGCCCGACCGCCTCTGTCCTCCTCCCCCTGGGCTCCAAGCCGGGCGGGCCGGGCACCATGGTCACGGGGGTCTCACGCTGCTGGGGACGCGCCTGCCGTCCGCATGCCCCTCCCTGTAGCTGAGTGTCTGGTCCGTGTGACGTGGCTCACGCCCGGACTCGCGGCAGAGCCAGAGGAGCCTTCCGGGCGGGGCCCTCGCCCATGTGCGGGGGGGGGGGGGGGTTCCCTGGGGCAGCTCCTTGTGTTTGGGGGCCAGCTAAGAACCTAACTTTAGTGACTCATCCAACATACTTACTTTGAAAATGTAGATGGAGATAAACACCTAGAGTCGTTCCCCCCAAAAGTTATTTCCGAAGTGTTGTGTATCAACTGAAAGTGTAACTGGTGTGCTGTTGTTTCCCTGAGTTGATTGTACCTCTTCTTCTTTTCAAGGTAAAGTGCAAGTTAAGAGTTCAGACATACGAGTTGGAGACCTCATCATAGTGGAAAAGGTTGATGCATTTTTAATCTATTTTAGACACGTATATGCCAATTACTGCCTTTTA